TCTTTCCCAATCTTATAGTTTTATATTAATAAGTTCATTAAACAAATATGGTTAACAGGTAACTAAAATAAAAAGATATAAAAATGTCCTTTTCCTGAGCACCAATAATATCTGATAAGTCTCACATGTAAAGTAAGTGTGTCATAGTTACAATTCCTGAAACAAAAGTTTTTTTTAAATGTTGAAAAGTCACCAAAAGTTTAAGCTTTAATAATTTTCCATGTGTATAGGAAGTCACTATAATGATAACTCTGTGACTTGTTCACCTCCAAAATATTTTGAAGTTGCAGTCTTCATTGACAAAAAACAATTCCAGTAATTTAGTAGATGTTCATATTTATTGTACTTAGTATAATTCAGGAAGTTAACATTTTTCATTACCTTTTCCACCTTTCCACCATTGATGTCACTGGGGAGGAATTTCTTGCCAATTGTTCTCAAGTCTGTCTAAAATAAAAATATTATTATTAACATAAAATTACAGAGAAAAGTGAATCTAAATCTAATTTCACTCACCAACAAAAGATAAAATTACTTAAGGTGTGTGGAACAAAATTTAAATAAATGTCTTTCAACTGATTATGAGATCTATATATATATAAAATCAATCTTTTCTAATAACACAGTCCCATAAATACATTGTTTAAAGTACATCAAAGGCCTTATTTATATCTGGTCATACTTCTCTAGATACCCTTTTAACTTACTAAGTCTTCTTTATTAAAATCTAAAACTTGATTTTATGAAACTATATAGTCTTACTAAAAAAAATTAATGCCACAATCCAAAACTAAATGACTACTTTGAACATATAAACAGAGTATATTTTTGACAACTAAATTCTATCTAACCTTGATATGCAGAGACATGAAAACACATTACTCTATAGGCTGTGATACTTATGACATAACAAAGCTACACAACATAAAAATATCCCAGAGAACAATACCACTGCAACAGCAAGAAATCGTAAGACTATACTGTAGTAAATACTTATTTCATTTGCTTTTTAAACAAATTACAGAAACAGAAGTTGGTGAACAAATGACCAACCACATGAAAATTCCCAAGTACATATTATTCAGCACACTAAAGCAAAACATAAAAAGAACAACATAGGACTAAGATAAAGTTGTAGGATTTCTGACATAAAAACAGAACTTCAGGGCTTCCCTGGTGGCGCAGTGCTTGAGAGTCCGCCTGCCGATGCAGGAGACGCGGG